GTAGCAAGCCTCTTACACACCATGAACACACTTGGTGCTAACAAGGTACTAACCTAATGTGTGTCTTTAGTGACATCAAACTTAAATATCCAATAGACATTTAAAAAAATATGCCAAATTCCTAATTATTTGCGAAAAAGTTTAGGACTAAAATTTTAAATTAAACAATGACCGGTAGCTGTACACCATCAACCTGGCCAGTAAAATGTGGTGAGGTTGTAAGCGAGGTAAGCTAACACACCCCCGTCATGCACCGCTAACGTGCTAAATGAAAGAGTGAAGCTAGCACACAACATGTAAGCTCGGCAATAACGCTGCAGACTTATCTTTGTGACATTTTATACACCCCAGTGGACAAGCAGTAATTAATTTTTCCTTTGACCCAGTTTACAGGATTAACATGAAAAAAAAACCCAGTTCACTATAGACGAAGGGTTTTCAAATGTGTACTTGGCACCACCTACAGACCAGAAAGGCTGACAAACATAAAATACTGTAATCACTGAACAAAACTGCATACTCTCTACAAAAGTATCCTCCCCAGTGTCTTTGAATACCAACAGGACGAGACACGGCCTCAGTCTCCAGTCACTGATGGAGCTCACAACTATCTCAAGTCTTCCTCTGATTCCGAGCGTCTATTGTTTCCCCAAGGGCAAATTTATTTACCATGTTACACAAGTGCTCACCGTTTAACCAACCACAGCAAAGGATGTTATTATCTGTGGACCATCTCCACTGCCCCTTCCTCTCTTTCTCGTCCATTAGCATAAGCTATACACAGCAGTGTTTACTGCGTATGACATCAGCGGTGATAGCAGTGGAATTGATTGCTATTTCAAGCTCTGTAGTGGGTTCCTGTGGGTAATTTGTGTGACTTCCCAGCAGCTGATTCTGATGAAGTGGTTAGTGTCTGGACCGGAGGACGACAGTTGTGGAATGTAAAGTAGCTAACTGCTGACCTATGGTGGTCCACTGCAGCCCCTAGGGACTACTATGTGGCACTGCAGTGGGGCTGTGAAATATTTAATCAATTGAAAAAAAATTCAATATTTTCCCATAAGTAATTCCCACAAATAAGTTTAACAAACATTAACTTTGAGAACTTACATTTTTCTACCAGATTCCAAGCAGAATGAGCAACACTAAAATATAGCAGCACAGACACTGTCCAGCTAAGACCAGCAAATCATCAATAACAGAATCAATAACAATAATATTAGAGTAGTTATCAGGCAAAGACAGACTGTAAAGAATTACTACAACCACACACACTGACGAAGTTGAACCTGATTCGCAGAGCCCATGTACCACTAGTTGTACATGTACCACAGTTTGAGAACCACATCCTTAAAAGTTGACAGCACAAGTACAGTGGAAGGCAGGATATGGAAGATTTATCACAGTGTCACACTATAGCGTAGCATACATTGTTAACTGACACGCTCCGAGCATAAAACTCAACTTTTTCAGATTTAACTTTTAGCTTCTCTTACACTGCCTGAATTTCAAAGCAGAGTTCCATGAACTCACTTCAAATTCACTGTGTGTATTTGTGTTAGATCCAGAGCATCTGAGGAAGAAGTCATTCCAGGCTCTAGAGCTGATTAAAACTTTTCTTTTGAGAAAAGAAAAAGAACTTGGTTTCAGAGCTTTCTTGTGAGCGCCAAGAAAATTTATATTTTCAAGCGAACAAGTTTTCCTCTTCAACACAGACTAGTCAATGAGAGAATAAGAACGGTGCGAGATTAAGAGGGCGATTCTTCAATCCCAGTCCACCCAGAGATTTATTAGAAGTTCTACTTAAAAGCACTTGGGACGAGTCAGTGCTGCAGCAACTGCTTAAATATTTCATTTAGCATAAAAATCCATCAGCTCATCAGTCAGCTGCCTGATTACACGTGTCGTCCTCTGTGTGTTTGCTCACTGAACCCTAAGGACAAACATCATCCTTAAATTTTTAATTTCTCTGTTTTTCATTTTTTTAGTATACATTAAAAATAACACATAATTTAAAGAGCGCTTTTATGTCGCAGCAGCGATCAAGTATATGATATATGACTATATTAGTCGGTGTAGCCTGAAGGATCCATCAGTGAGAGAAACAACTACCACAGAAAACATCATGGCTTCATCGGCCTGTTGAAGCGTTTCCACTGTGACTCTTTGAGGATGGTGTGCCACTGCCCGGGTGACTGATTTATTGCCAGGTGTTACATTGGTGTTTGTATTCTGCCTGACCCATGGTGGTCTGATACACTTTGATGGCTTTTATAAAGACTTAGGTGGAGCTCAGATAGAGGGGCATTCATCATTTAAGGCGTTACAGCTGCCTCCAGCAGCAAAGCCGTTTGGAGGATCAGTAATATTCTGTCGTCCTCTGGTTAGTAACTACAACATATGTATATGAGCAGACAAAATAAAGTAAAACCTCAGAAGACAGGTATAAGAAGCAGAACAGGACAAATCCAAGCCCTTGTTGAGCATTTAGACCTTTAGGTGGCGCTATATACATGAGGTGCAAAGGCCCAGCGAAGGATTCATATATACCTGTGAATTGATATGTATAAATCTAGTCCTGTAAAAACGGTAGCTCTGCACAATAAATTAGAAAGACATTTAGAGGTTATAATAAAAATGTCCCGGAGAACTTATCATTCTGTAGGGCTGATTGCAACCCAGCCCTTTAGGATTGCAGATGTAAAAGCAGCACACTAGTATTTCTGTGAGCGTTCACAAACGCATCTGTGGAGATGTAACCTGAAGTAACACGATAGCTGGGATTTCTCACACATTTTACATTCAGGCTAGGCTGCACCAGCTGCGTCTCCCTATCCATCTCAGAACCGGCGTTGTCAGAGGTGGTGTATCACCGACTGAATTTATGAGGAAAGTAAACTGCATGTGAGGAGTGTATATGTACAGTATGTAAAGATTCATGAGGTCATGCGTGATGTAGACGTGTGTGCATACATGCAGCCTTGGTGTCTGCGGAAAAAAGAGCCTAGAAGGAGGTAATTACCGCACTGTGTTGAAACATCATTATTCACTCATCTGCCCACTAGCACCATCTGTCCTGCTGAGCACCACCTCACACACAATCAGCTCACCAAGGACAACTCCACCTACACAAGCACACCATCCATCTATCTCCCAGAGCACTGGCTCATAGGACACCTCTCATCACTTTAGCGTTCCCTCCATCCATCCTCTGTCATCCTCTCTCTCTTTTTTGGCCATTTTTATCATCATCTGCACACGACACTCGTCAGTTATCCTGTCGCTCATTAAGATTTTTTTTTTCTTTTGAGGCTGCCGCCGTAGAGATTGTGTCGTTCAGGAAGTGAAGCGGTTTCATTTCGCCGTTTCACCTTGCACTGTGCATTATCCCAGATGAGATCGTGAAACGTCCGCTTGTAAATCAGAAAACGACGCATCCGAGCCGGTAGCCGTGGACTGCAAATAACTCGCAGTAAAGCATGTTGTTAAAAACAGTGGGCGATAATAAAGGTAAGTATAAGGAGCACAAACATTTAAGGCAGTGAAGAGCGTGAAGTTTTGGGTCACAGTCAAAGTGGGCAGTAGAGTCAAACTCTGAATGATTCCGGTGAATTAATGTAAATTTGCGGCGTTCAATTAAAAGCATGAAATGACTATATCTGTCCTAATGATGCGCCTTGTAATGGGGGCCCATTACTCTCCACCGCTGCCTCCCTCCCCCATGCCCTGAAAGAAAAAAAGAAGGAACTTTAAGAGCAATTTGCCGTAATGCACCAAGCTATAATTCTGACCGTGTCCACTGACTGCATTTGCGTCTGAGTGTAATTGATGTTTTACTCATCGCTGATGGATTAGAACATAAAATAACAAGAGAGGAACAATCATGTCAAAGAGACGGATAGACAGACTGAGTGAGTGTTTTCATATAAAAGCACTGAGCATCAGGTTCCTGATTTGGACTTCTGGGAATTCAAACCATTTACTGACCGCCATCTGTGTCCAGAGTCATTCTGATGTAGAATGTGACCAAACACTTGGGACTCAGAGAAACAAAGATCCTCCCAAAACATTGACAAGAAGCTCTTTGCCGAACCTACTTCATAAACCGTCATTCTATGCGGTCATTTTTCAGCTGTGTGGATCAAGACATTTTTTTACTGAGTGTTTTTCAATGGTGCATAATCGTCTCTTCTGCTCCTCAAAGGATTTAACTAAATGCTGGTCTGCAGCAAAGCATCAGAGTTGATCTGCTAACATAGCAATGTTGACTGCCAAGGTCTTTCTGCTTTGCTGTCTCCCTGAGGTCAGAAGTGAAAAAGAGCACCACAATGGAAGAAATACATCACTGCAGACATTGAATATCTTACATTCAAGAATCAAGGTCCCATTTGCTGCAATTTTTCCTATTTATTTTCATAAAAGAGGCACAAAGCACTGATAATAAGACCACAAGGCTATTCATTCATCACTGCCACATGTAATAGAGGCTGCTGCGATGAAGTAAGAGAGAGACCCTGAAGCGTTTCAAAACATTACTAATTTAATTATTACCATAGAGTTAAACAAAAAAAAAACTTTAAATATTTGTTCTGAAAAATTAGCAGCCATTTTGGTACATTTATCACAGTTCTGAGTTCTCCTCTTCCAAAGCCTCAGTCGAGCTACAGGTTGCCTGGACTGACGAGCAGTCTGTCGATCCCCACTTTGTCCTGACGCACCCAGACAATTAATGCTGCTTTAAAATCTACGTCTGGGTAAATAAATGAGAGGCCAAGGTAAATTAAAACTCTGATGCAATTACACCGCCAGTTCCAGTTAACCCCCTGGCAATTAACAAGCTGTCAGCCGGGATGGATCGGACTGTACGTGGCAGCGCT